GATGGTGGCCGTTGCTAAGAGTAGCCGGAAAATGAGAAGTCCAAATGTGGCACCTCCTGAGAACTTAGTCCTTACATCAGTCATATGAGGGAGGGATGTTGGCCCATTTCGTGGATGAGAAGACTAAGGCTCACAGTCCCAGCTAGTCTGCAGCTAGGAAATGGCCCCAGGGTACAAACTCCAGTACCATGTGGTCTCCTGGGAAGGGGCGGGGACTGTGGACGGTCCACATGACAGGGTCTCAGTGTCTCTACTCAGCCCGGAGCTGCACACCAGCCCAAAGTCCATTTGAGGTTAAGGCCAAGTCCCTAGAAATATACCTCCCTCTTCTCTACAGCCCTCTTGACTGCATGGCGTCCCCCAGCACTAACTCCTGCTCGTTTCATCCAAGGCTCCCATCTGAAGACGAGGCATTGAGCAGTGAGGATAAGAAAAGACAGGGCAGTGGGTTTTGAGGTTCCAAAGGCAGGTCAGTGGGACCCAGGGTGGGCATGTCCTCCACTCCAACCCTGTCTCTCACATCGGCTCCTTGAGAGATTTCCAGCCTCTCATGCCCCACTGTCCAGACCCCATCATCACCAAACCCCGTCATCACCCTTGTTTTAAATAATGTTATTCAAATATAATTCACATGCCACAAAATTCATTCATTGTAAATATACAACTCAGTGATTTCTAATGAATTTATAGAGCTGTGCCACCATCAGCATGGTCCAGCTTCAGAACACTGCATCACAAAACGCATCCTCCTGACTGTGCGTTAGTCCCCACTGCTGCTGTTTTCTGTGGGCAGATGTTTTCTCCGTTTCTGTAGATTTTCTTATTCTGGACATGTCGTGTAGTCCTGTAGTACGGATGGTCTTTCCTGTCTGGCTTCTTTCACTGAGCATAATGTTTCTAACATTGTTCATGTTATGCTATAGATCAGTAGTTCCTTCTTTTTTTTATTGCTAAGTAGTATTCATTTTTATTGCTAATTAGTTGAATGGACATACCACCATTGTTAATCAGTCTCCCGTTGGTGGACATTTGGGTTGTTTGGGGCACTTGTGTATAATGCTGCTGGGACCATGAGGCTAGATGGTTTGGGGGTGGACCTCTGTTGTCTTGGATAGATTATTAGGAGTGCTGGTGACATCATCTCCCCCTTGAATTTTTGTGAAATTCTTCTAGAACCCTCTCTTCTGACTCCAGACTTGCCTCCCTCCAATTCAAGCCCTACACTGTCCCCATAGTCATGTCTCTGAAAGGCACACCTGGTTATGGCTTTCATCAGCATAAAACCTTGCAAGAGCTCAGAATATGCAATGGTCTCCTTGGTGTAGCCTGCCAGTGCCTCTCCAGTCATCATCTCATGTTGGGGATCAGGCCAGCCCAGGAATGTCATCGTATCCCCAGTGTCCAAGTCCATTTAGAAGACACTTGGTCACTATTATTGGATGAAAGCATGGGACTGGTAGCCCTGTGATCAGAGCTTTTCAAATACTTATTCAACCTCCAGGCATTGGACCACCAGACCCTGGGACATATGCTAGAAAAGGTCAAACAGTAGTGTAGGATTAGGAACCAGGAGCATTGATTACTCCAGCATTGATTCCAGAATTTCAGTGAGCCCTTTCCCAAACATTGACGGCTAAATTCTGAAGCATTTGGTAAGAGATCTATGCCTTTATTTATATGGTTCTTCTCTCTAGAACAACAGATTCACCATCTGCTTGAAGAACTCCTACTCATCCTTCAAAACTTTGTCAGCCGTCACCTCTTCTATGATACCTTGCCGGATCCCTCCCATTGGTGCAGAATTATTTCCTCTTATTTTCATACCTATCTCTTCTATGTCACTGTATTTTGTACACACTTTGATCACAGCACGTTTTATACATTATTTGCTTACATGTCTTATACCACACTAAACCCCCTCCCTGGCATCTTGGGAGGGACTACATCCCACTTGCCTTCTTATCCCAGTTACTGGCACACAGGAGCTAGATACAATTTTTGTTTTTAAGATTTTATTTATTTATTTGTGAGAGAGAATGAGAGAGAGAGAGGATGAGAAGTGGGAGGGTCAGAGGGAGAAGCAGACTCCTTGCCAAGCAGGGAGCCTGATGGATGCGGGACTCGATCCCAGGACTCCAGGATCATGAACCGAGCTGAAGGCAGTCGCTTAACCAACTGAGCCACCCAGGCGCCCACAGTTTATTTTTTAACTGAACTAAACACGCTCAAGCTTTAAGTTCCCCCAATGTCAAGGGGAATGACGATACTTGCCCTGGCCACCGTAAGGAATTTTTTAAAATGAGAATAACATGTCTAATAAACAAAAACACCTTGAAAAAAAGGCACGAGAGACTCCGTGAAGGTCAAGTCCAGTAACCTGTGGCTTGGCCAGAGATTCTGGTTACTCAGCGGGACATGACTTGGCCCTATTTGGTTCAGGAAGTGCCTGGGGTTCTCCTAAGCTTGCACCAGGGCTGTGAATCTGGTTGTGGTTGGCGGTCTGTTCAGCACTGTGATAAAGAGCCCGTGACTGTCGACAAATCCGTCCCCATCTCCCTCCGGTCCCTTCTCCTGTTTCATCTTTCTTCACTGCCCTTATCGCTATGTGACATCATGCAGTAGAGTTATTTGCATGGTGATTGTCGTGCTGTGGCAAAGGCTGCTGGTTGCCTACCCAGGTCCATTCTCCCATCCTCCTTGCCCCCCCACGGGACCCCGTTCCCCAGTCCCTCATGAAGTTGGATGTGGCCACGGGGCTAGGTTTCACTCACAGAAAAGAAACAGAAATGATTGTTGCCTCTGCCCCCCAGGCCTAGGCTTTAGCACACCGAGCTAGCCCCTCCGTGCCCCCTCCCATCTTCTTGCTAGCGACACAGTGTGGCCGCACCACGCTCCACCCAACCAGATGGAGAAGCGAAGGCTTGGAAGGAGCCTGGGCTCTCCCCAGGGATCAGGCGGAGCAGGGCAGCCCACCGACCTGGGAAACACACCTTGAGTTACTACTCAAGAGAGAACTTCATTTCTTTGTTCTTTGATTTAAAAAATTTTAGGGTCTCTTTGTTACAGCGACCCAACCTCGCCCTAACTAATGGACCCTAATGCTTTGTGACAGCTGGGACTTTCTTTTTTTGTTGTTCGCCGAAGTGTTTCCAGTGCCTGGAATTATGCTTGGCTCCTAGTAGGGGCTTGAGCTAGAATTTGCTGTATAAATAAATGAAGCCGGATGCCCATGTTTGAATCAGTGACAAGCATGTTACCCTAACCCTGTGGACCTCAGTTTTCTCACCTGCAGTATAGGGATAGTGATGGGACTCACCATTTGGATTACTGAGAAGATTAAGATAATATAGTTACAAAACCAAAAAGATAATATAGTTACAGCTCACAGAGCAATGCTTAACATGTAGCAAGAGCTCCCTGTTAGAGACCATTATTATTAATTATTATTATTGTATAAATGTCATGTATTCTGCATCCTTGAGGTCTTCAGTAATACTGAAAATAATTTATTTTCTTTTTTTTTTTAAGATGTTATTTATTTGAGAAGGGGAGATAGCTAGATAGAGAAGAGGGGCAGGTGGGAGAGGCAGGGGGAGAGGGAGAAGCATGTTCCCTGCCGAGCTGGGAGCCTGACATGGAGCTTGATCCCAGGACCCTGGGATCATGACCCAAGCCGAAGGCAGATGCCCGATGGACTAAGCCACCCAGGCGCCCCCTGAAAATGATATCATGTTAAATTAAGAAATTTCAGGGGGGAAAAATAGCCAGGGCAGCTAGGACAGCGGACGAATCAACTTCTGCCATCGGCTGGCATGAATGAAGGGGATTCACCCCTTAAGGGTGTGCTTCATGAGCTCAGTGTGACGGTTTTGGAAGATACATGCAGAGTTATGCAAATCACATACAAATTCACATAAAAATAGCCTCCCTGTGCCTCCGCATTTACTAGAAAGAATTCTGGAGGCTTTATACCATTTGTCTCAGAAAGACACACCTGGAAGGAGGGAAGTGCGCGCAAGCACGTGGAGGTGGGCACGTGTGGCACCCGCAGGGCTGTGTGTGCTCTGGTGCGGGGAGGCCTGGGAGGCTCGGGGAGGCTCACGCGGACAGCTTAAATACAGTTGTGCAATCAGAGATGTGTGGCTGGTCCAAAATAAACTTTGAAACGCCAGGCTCTGAGGGCCTGCATCCCATCAGCGCCTTCACTCGACAGCCACGGACTCGTCTCCCATTATTACAGAACCACACTTGAGGACACGGGAGGCACCAAGGGAACCCAGGAAGCCTGTTCCTGGTTTGAAAGAGCTCACCAGCTGTGAACAGCGGAGCCACCCGAGTTTTGATTTCTGTAAAACGGACACAAGGACCCACGGCCTGTGCACCTGAACCTTGCTTTAAGGGCCCACTAAGATCATGGGTGCAAGGGGCTGCTTTGCAGTCTTAGAAATGGTTAATGCGCGTGCTTGGGATTCCTGTGCTTATGCTTGTGAGGAAGGGTGTGAGCAAGGAGCGGAAGCTATGGGGCCACGGGGCACGCTGCAGGATTTGCAGGGTTGAACAAATAATTTGGTAGCATGATTACAGAGACCCCTACCTCTTGAGCTTTCCAAAGCAGCTCAGACTTCAAATACTTTGTCCGATGATCATTCCATACAGCAGAATCATCATTCATACACGTCTGCACTCTTTCACTCTTTCAGCAAAGACACTGAACTAGGTGTAGTGTCCCAGGGAGGGTCCTACCCTATGCCGAGTCCCAAGATTTAAAAAATGGAACAGACACGATCTTTGCTCACAAGGACCTTTTTCTGCTGTCCTTGCTCACAAGGACCTCTTTTCTTCTCACACCCGAGCTCACTAACCATCCGGCAGGGGAGACAAGCGTATCATCAATAAATGTCACATTGCGCGCAAGGAACAATAACAGAAGCCCGGAGAGCAAGAGACTCAGAGAAGGAAATATTTGGCTGCACCTGGGAAGGTCAAGGCCACTTGGAAAAATGCATGGTGTCTTCAAGGGCAAGCAGGAGCCTGCCAGGTGGGCTGGCAGAGGGAAGGCTGTGTGCCCGGGTACAGAAGCATGAAGCATGGCCATGTGCTCCCCGATCTGATTCGGAAAATACGGCCAACAGTGTCAAGACGTACCTTTCCCCACTCATGCATCCCTGACTCCTCTGTGACATTTATGAACCCATGAGATTTTCTCGGCGGTTACCCTGGACAGCGAGTCCTTGAACTGTTTGCTGTCTGCTGCTGCTGCCTCCCGTCTCTTCAAGGAGACTGTGAGTCATCTGAGAACGGACGTTGTCTCCTCCATCTTTGTCTCTCTGGGACCCAGGTCGGTGTTTGTTTGTCCGGGACGTTTGTTACAGGAAGTGTCCGAATGGATGACAGTGTCAGAACACTGTGACTTTTGAGATGTTGTGCCCCGTGCTGATTTCTACACTATCTCATTTAATCTTCTCAATAACCCCGGGGGTGGCTACCATGAATCCCCATTTTACAGATGAAGCAATTGAGGTTTTGTGAGATTACTTGCAGAAGAGAAACAGTCTAGAAATGGTGAATGAGGATCTGAATGCAGCTGACCGACCCAGGGGCCAATGCTTTCAGCTCTGACTCTACCCAACTTTATTGACCCCATGTGTTGTGCTTAATAAAACAGTAAGACTTAGGAGTTTTCTAGACCCACATGTCAGTGTAAGTCCTGAGCTCTAACCAAACTGAGGTTATTTCTTCTCACGGCTGCTTCCTAAGCCACAGCCCCTTAAGCATAAGGCTGTGCCTGCTCTGTCTTTGCATCCCCATACCCAGCACGGCACCTGTTCTCCCAGGATGGAGAATAAGGACCAGGGAATTGTCCAGGGCAATCCTGGAAGGACTCCCTACAGGAGGCCAAGTTTCTTTGAGCCAAACTTGAGATCCGAGGCAGAAAGAGGGTATTGTGAAGGCTGGAAAGTAGATGTGATAAATCCATCAATCCATTTGTGGGTTGTGCAGGCTTTTGATGGAGTGGAGAGGAACTAGTAATGTGGTTGGAGGAGCCCCAAACTCCCAGGCTACTGTAGAGGTGTCGCTGGAACTCTTTGTGCCCCCCACACAGATGCCTTTCCCTCCATGAGACCAGAGCCAAGGCCAGCTTTGGAGGGATGAAGGCCCTTCCTGCCCAGAAGAGCTGCGTGGACATCTTCAGGTGAGACGCCATCGGAAGCTATTGAGAAACTGGTAGGTTGGTTGAGATGTGTCACTTGCAGGTAGCAATTAACATAATTAAACATTTTTTGAGTGCCTCCCATGTTCTGGGGCTGATTCTAGGAACTGGATCAACATTATGGCCCTCATAGGAGCTCCATTTGGTGGCAGAAGGTAGAGTGAATAAGTAAACTAACTATCAAGCTAGGTAGAAAAGAAAACAAAAGGGTAGCATAGAGAGTAACTGGGGAGAGAGGGAGGTCCGTGAAGGCCAGTCAGAGTAGGTGACATTTGGACTGAGCAAATCTAATGACCAGGATGCCTGGGTGACTCAGTCCATTCAGCGTCCAACTCTTGATTTGGGCTGTCATGATGTCAGGGTCTTGGGATAAAGCCCCGAGTCTGGCTCCATGCTTGTGATTCTCTCTCTCCCTCTCCCCTGCCCCTCCCCAACGCTCAGGTTCATGCACATGAGCTCTCTCTCTCTAAAAAAAACAGAAAAGAAAACCTGATGACCACGTGGCACCAACCATGCTAAGAACAGAGGGAAGGGTTCCAGCCAGAACGCACAGAATGTGCAAAGTTCAGGGGTGGAAATGAACATGATGAATTGGAGGTACAAAGGACCAGAGTGGCTGGAGGGTGGTGAGCCAAGGCGAGAGAGGTCCCAGATGGGTCAGGAGAGGCACCTGGGGCCAAGATTGCACAGGGTCTGGTCGGCTTTTATTTTAAGCACTATAGTGTATTAGCTAGATATTGCCGTGTAACAAATTACTCCAAAATGTAATGGTTTAAAACAGAACACATTTTTTATCTCACCGTTTCTGTGGGTCAGGAATCTGGGTTTGCCTTCACTGTGTCCTCTACTTCAGGGCTCTCTTAGGCTGCCATCAAGCTATTGGCTGGGCTCGTGGGCTGGCTTGAAGTTCACGTGGTTATTGGGGAGATATGGTTCCTCACGGGCTACTGATCAGAGGTCGTCCTCACTTCCCGACCATGCGGGCCATTCCAGAGCAGCACTTGCTTCATCAGAGCACCCAAGCCGAAGAGGGAACAGAGAGGGTCTGGCAGCAAGACAGAAGTCACCGTCTCTTGTAACAGAATCTTAGAAATGACCTCTATAGCCTTGGCTGTATTCTATTCATTAGATGTAGGTCACAGGTCTTGTCCCAAGTCAAAAAATGCCCAGGTGGGTGGGGGGAGGTCACAGACTAGGGGGTGTGTGTCATTTTAAAAGTCTGTTGAACACACACAGAAAGCCATCGGAGGTGTCTAAACAGGGAGTGAGATGGTCTAAGGCATAACTTCAAAGGATCACTTTGGCTTCCTCAAGTGTTGGGAGTGTGGGTGGGGGTTGCGCAAAGTGAAAGCAGGAAGGCCGGTGGGGACTTCTGTGCCAGAGGATGCTGGTTTGGGCTAAGGAGGTAACAGTGGAGAGGCAGAGAAGGACAGCCAAGGTGGCCTTGCCAATGGATAGGAGGGGGTGGGGACAAGTGAAGAGGAACCGGGGATGACTCCTCTGAGTTGGCTGTGACATCATGGCATGAGGGTGCCTTTGACTCTTGGGACATGTGCTCTGCATTTTTTTCCTCCTGGGAAAGACCATCGCCGACACCCTCTGGCTCTACCCAAGGTCACCCATTTGCTGGATGGCTAGCTAGCATTCAGAGCGCCAGCGGCAAGCAGAGAACAGATGTCTCCTTGCGCAGGACTGAGGGACTATCCCCACATCCTCCGTCTTCTTAAGCTGCCCACGCTCAGACCAATCAAGCCAATGAACCGGGGGTGTGGTTGGGGAGCCACTCACCTATGCCCATGCTCACAAAGTCAGCCAGAGCTGGAGAGAGTGAAGGTAGGCACGCATGTGTGCATATGTGTATGTGTGTGTGCATACGTGTTTCTCTGTCCCTCAGATGGTCTATGGTTGGAGTGGAGAATATGGTTCGAGGAAGGGAGACTTCCGAAAACGGAGCCTAGAATTTTAGGGCATTCTGAACAAATAAATTCCAGACAAACAAGCACTTTAGGACTTTACCTGAAGAACACCTGGGTGAAAAGTAGAGAAGTTAGGTAATTATGGGGCTGCCGTTTGCTGTGACAGTCTCACCACCAAGCATTTGATAGATGCCTCATTTAATCCTCCTAACAACTCTGTGCACTAGGATTATCCCATTTCACAGATGGGAAAACTGAGGCTTTGAGAAGGTAAGCAACTTGCCCAAGGTGACAGAGCTCATGAATGGGAGAGCCAGGGTTTGATCCGGGTCTGTCTGACTCCAAACCCACGTTCCTGTTACACCCTCACTACCTCTCATTTAAGCTGGTTGAAGATTTGTTTCCTGATTCCAGGGATGAAGCTAGAAGCAGGAGCTTTTCTTCTAAGTGGGTCCAGGCTTGCCAGAGACCTAGTGGTCTGGGTTTGGCTCTCCTCCGTGCAGGCAGCAGATAGTGCCCCCTGGTGGTGGAGATGAGAAAGGGCCGTGGATGAGAACAGAGGAGCTTGGAGTTGGCCGGTTAATTGGGGGGACAGAGTCACAGCAGTGCCCACAGAGCAGAGAGCCGGTTCCATGAACTCAGGCTGTCCCAAGCAAAGGGCCAGAGCATGTCTCCTTTCCTAGGGCCCTTGGGTGTCCTCCTGCCTCCTGCCCAGTCAGCCAGGTGCTCATCAGAGGCAATACACACCCGTAACCCAAATGATGTCACCGAACACCAGCCACGTTCATCATTCAAACCTAGCATCTGCTCCTAAGTGCAGACTTCTGCACAGCCCATACTGAAACAATCTTGTTTACAACGTAGGGCCTAAGACTTTGGCTAATTTAGTGGTCAGTCTGCCAACCAAAGGGGGAAAACCTCCTGACTAAGGACTGTTTCTGCATACAGGAAGCAGGGTCCACAGAGGGGATTTTCTGGGGGCCACTGTCCACGTAGCTTCCCAAAACCCTACTTCGCAGGGAGACAGACATGCCACTTATGAAACAAGACAAGAAGGGCCACGTAGTTATAGGTCGGGGAGCACCGGGGGAGTGGGGAGCTCTGCTTGGCCAGTTGGGGAAGGCGTGACCCCGGGTTTTGAAAACATAAGAATACCTTGGGTGTTTGCTACACCAGGTTCTGAACCTCTTGAATAGGAATCACAAAGAAGGTGCTGACACACGGTCTCTGAAGGTCTGTCCCTGTCACCTGCGACATTTTCCCATCCGGCTGTAAGAGGCCCCCTTCCTGGGGGTGGGGGGGAGCAGGGTGATTGGAGCAGCTGGGGAGTCAGGATGCCTGTGTTCTATTTCCAGCAGCTATCACTGACTCATGGTGTGACCTTGCTGAGGTCAAAGCTATGTTTTCCTTGCCTGGGGAAAATCAGAGGTGACAAAATTTGCATTTTCCCAAGGGATAGGAGTCCTGGAACATCGGGAGCCCCTCCCTGCTCCCCATGAACCCCAACTGAGTCTTCTCCTGCTGATATTAATGAAAAATGCTTAGGTTTATATTTGAGGGGCTTTGGGGGACACTCAAAGTAAGAAACAAGGCGTTCTTGCCATAACAGGACTTAGGGCCACTTTTTTTTTTATCATTTTTTTAAGTTTATTTTCAGCATAACAGTATTCATTGTTTTTGAACCACACCCAGTGCTCCATGCAGTCTGTGCCCTCTCTAATATCCACCACCTGGTTCCCCCAACCTCCCACCCCCCACCTCTTCAAACCCTTCAGATTGTTTTTCAGAGTCCATAGTCTCTCATGGTTCACCTCCCCTTCCAATTTACCCCAACTGCCTTCTCCTAACTCCCCATGTCCTCCATGCTATTTGTTATGCTCCACAAATAAGTGAAACCATATGATAATTGACTCTCTCTGCTAGACTTATTTCACTCAGCATAATCTCTTCCAGTCCCTGTCCATGTTGCTACAAAAGTTGGGTATTCATCCTTTCTGATGGAGGCATAATACTCTATAGTGTATATGGACCACATCTTCCTTATCATTCGTCCGTTGAAGGGCATCTTGGTTCTTTCCACGGTTGCCAAAC